CGCACCCACAACACCCGCACGGCCGCACCCACCTGCCCTTCGCCGGCCCCCGCGAGCCGGGGAACCCGGAGAGCTCTGCTCAGGAAGATCCCTCGCAGCCAGGAAAGGAAGCACCCTGAATCGTTGCGTCTCAAAGGACGGAGGTTCAAGCGGAGTGAGAAGTTAAAACACCCTTAACGTCTTTAAGGGAGGAAGTGTAATAGATGCACGACAGGCATAAACAAGAACAACAAAACAGGTGTTATGTGTACATTTGGAGTTCCTGTTTTGCTCATCCCTCACCACCCCACCCTCCACACACTAACATCCCTTTCTTCCCCCCACCAGCTGTAAAAGATCCTCTGCGAAAGATATATATATATATTTTTTAATAATCCCCCAAATAAGTTTTGTCCCCTTTTAGGCCATGTTCCATTATCTCTTAAAATTGGAACCTAATTCGAGAGGAAGTCAGAAGGGTCTGTTCTATGGGTAAGCTAGGTGAACCCCGGGGTAGGGGAAACATGTTAACACCTTTGACGTCTTTGACTGAAGTTGACATGGAACAGCAGATAGTTGTTATGTAGAGGTAGTTCTCAAAGCTGCCCTGCCTGTTTTAGGAGACTTTCCACAAACAGATTGAGGATCTTTTAGAATTGAATTTACTCTTCAGTATTTTCTAATGTTCAGCTTTCTAAAAGGCATCTATTTTTCAAAGAAGTGAGGATGCAGTTGCTCACGTTGCAACTTATTCTGAAGTGGTTTAAATGGTATCTCTTAGTAACTTGCACTTGTTAAAGAAACACGGAGCTGGGCCATCGTCAGAACTAAGTCAGGGAAGGTGATGGATGAGAAGGCCAGAATCATTCCTAGTACATTTGCTAACACTTTATTGAGAAATTGACCATGAATCAATGGACTCACCTTAATTTCTTTATCTATCTATACAAATTTCTGTTTATCCATAGGTAGGTATCTATACATACACATCTCGAGTGCATCTATTCCCACTCTCATTAATCCATCATGTTCCTAAATTTTTGTAATCTTACTGTAAAAAAGTGCACTGAACTTAAAAACAAAACAAAACAAAAGTCCAAACTGATATATCCTATATTCTGCTAAATGACAAAAGTGAACGAAAGCATTTAACTGGTCAATTTTGATTGGAAATGCTGTAAAGATATGGAATGAAGTCCTGTGAGGCCTTCCTATCTCCAAGTCTATGTATTTTCTGGAGACCAAACCAGATACCAGATAATCACAAAGAAAGCTTTTTTAATAAGGCTTAAACCAAGACCTTGTCTAGATATTTTTAGTTTGTTGCCAAGGTAGCACTGTGAGAAATCTCACTTGGATGTTATGTAAGGGGTGAGACACAACAGTCTGACTATGAGTGAGGAAAATATCTGGGTCTTTTCGTCAGTTTGGTGCATTTGCTGCTGCTGTTGCTACTGTTTGCCTCAAACGCTGTGTTTAAACAACGTTAAACTCTTAGCCTACAAGGTGGCTCTTATGTACATAGTTGTTAATACATCCAATTAATGATGTCTGACATGCTATTTTTGTAGGGAGAAAATATGTGCTAATGATATTTTGAGTTAAAATACCTTTTGGGGAGGATTTGCTGAAAAGTTGCACTTTTGTTACAACGCTTATGCTTGGTACAAGCTTATGCTGTCTTAAATTATTTTAAAAAAATAAATACTGTCTGCAAGAAACCAACTGGTTTAGAAAAGTTTAGTATGTGAAGATAAACTAGAAATTATCTTTATATTCTAGTATTTTCAGCACTCCATAAATTCTATTACCTAAATATTGCCACACTATTTTGTGATTTAAAAATTCTTACTAAGGAATAAAAACTTTAATATACAGTATGATATTGTCTAATAATTAAAAAAGACAATGGATGCTCAATTAGTTTTGAGATATCTATGACTGTAGGGATACAAATCACTGAGGTTCTCAGATATACAGCTTTTTTTGTCATTGGCTTGATGTCACACATTTCCAATCTCTTGCAAGCCTCCAGGCTCTGGCTGTGTCTACCTGCTTGTTTCCAATGTATCTTAATGAAAAGTGCAAAAGAAAAATCTACCAATTAACTTGTGTGATTTGTTTATGTTAGACCCAATTTTCTATTGTTTTAATGATTGACAAGGTTTTCACTTTTTGTCTGTGACATCAGATAGCCTCTCTAGTATGGTCAGGTGTTTCTCTTTCACTGGGTCTTGTATAAATAGATGATCACATAGGGGTGCTTAACATGAGAGTGCTTTGGCTTCTTAATTTTTATAAAATAATTCTGTCATGGGACTTTATCATGGAATTCCAGGATCAGAAATAATTTCTAGACTTTTCTCAAATTTCCATTCAAATCTGTGACATGATACAAACTGAGTGAAGGATTGTCAGCTTTTAGTTTCAGGAATGTTCTTCACAACCCCCTTGATTTTTGAAAACTGTTTAAATGAGAGTCACATTGTATAAGATGTAGAAAAAGTGCTCCCTCTGCTGACTTCATGGCAACTGAACTGCAAGTCATAACAGTGTGGAGCCAGGAGCCAGGGCTCATCCAGTCCCCTGCATTTCCTCATAGGAAAAAAAGAAAGGAAGCCCAGAGATATTAAGTATCTTCCCAAGGTCACAGAGCTACCTAGAGTCAGCACTAGCACTAGTGGCCAGCTCTATCAGATCTCTCAGTCAGTCAACTACTTCCCATTGCAGTATCTTGGACCAAGTAAGCTGAACTTGATTGAGCACCCTTCATGAAGCTTTGTAACAAACCATAGAACAAAGGAAACTGAAATTAACACTGGAAAACTATGTAGGATTTTCGAGCATTGTTAATTTATTGAACTTTAGAAAAATTATCTGAATCAGAATGGGAAAAACAGCATTTCAAATATTTTGAGCTATATTTTGATGCTACTACTGTAGTAATATTAGTTTCATAACCAAAAAGGATTAAGAGTGAATCAGAGGATAATACAATGTTTTTAGCATGTGTATAATTTTGGTAGAATGAGATAAAAAAACTTCAGAGTTGGGCCAGATTTTATAAGTCAGTTATTTAGTCCAAGTACCCATATGGTAACATAAGATAAAGTTAGAACAGAAATGCAAAAATAATATTATCTATATTGCATCTAAAATCTGAAAAAATGTTATTCTGGTCATTGATTTATTTTAATGAATTAAAAGGCTTAAGTCATTATAATTCATTAAAGAGGCTTCTATACTTGTAGTGGTGAAATTTCAGCTAAAATGATTTTCCAACTTCAGGCAAATATGAATCTTGAGTCAGTGTTTTTATTAACATAGTATTATACTCATAAAAATTTAATTTTACATACATATATTTTACGTAATATTTTACAAGATTAATTTTATATACACATATTTCTTAGCAAACTTTATATTGAATTGAAAAAAAGGCCCTTCCCTCCCCTCCAAAGAGCTAACCTTAAGCACGTTTTCAAGGCACTAGAAACAACACTTTAATAGCTATGTAAAATTTGGAGTTTTAGTTCCTATCATTGTGAAACTATTTTTCATTTAGTTCCCTGTTTCTGGCCATCCAGGCCATGACTTTGGTTATTGCCGGTCACCTGAGATTTGTTCAAAAGTTATGTAAAAGGAGGCTCAGCCTGCTCCTTTCTATGTCACAGGTCAATTCTTAACCTTTCCATGGAAAGTGATTGCCAGCAGAGCCTCTGGAGCGACATGGCTGGGCAAACACACGAAGGATTTTACATTAGCTAGAAATGAACGGAGCTCTCATGAATGACTTAAGACCATTATATTGCCAAAAGCTGGCTGTAGTGTTGTGATCATGGTATTCTACTTCAGGTAGCAACCTGATATTTTTCATTAAACAAAAATTCTTAACCTATTGGGACCCTCAGCTCAATATATTTAGACCCATCCATTGTTCTCACTGTTATTTTAAACAAGTTCAAGATGGATTTACAGTGCATGCTAAAGTCCCATGGAAGTTCCAGTTTTTCATAGAAGAATTTAAGTAAGGGATTGATGTGGGAAATTATCACATATTTTCTGTGATTAAGATGGGATTTATACTAGAAAACATGCACAGCATGTACTTTAAAAATATGCTATTCTAGGAGTTCTACGTTTGTTTTAAAATTGGGTTTCTTATGCTCGTTCAGAGATTCCATATTGAAAACTCCAAACAAATATAAAACCACCTTTTAAAAGTTGATATTTTAAAATTCTAAATTCAGTGATGCCTAGTTTGTCTGACACGAGGGACAAACGGTCAATGGTTTAGAAAACTAAAGCTTCTATGTTCAAATGCCAATGCTGTTTTTCATTTTTGAATTTTATTTTAGTGGAAAGCATACTAAAATGTATTACACATATCCTCTAAAATGTCTTACCCTGGACATACTTAACCTTTCTCAATAATTCAGGGTCAGCATTGTAAACATCATTTTTGCACTATGCATGACATCTGGGAGTAATTGCACCTGCACCAAATTCTTTTTGAGTTCTACCTGCTTTTTATAGGGTTTTTCAGTCTCTTTACGCACAGCTAGCCTGTCAGCTGTCACGTCTTGAAGCCTCAGAGTGCTTCCTCCAACTCTTATCTAATTTGCTACCTCTGACTTACTGTGGGCTGGGAAACCATTTAAACACACTACCACACCCATTTGAAATGTGCTAAAATTAGAGTAAATAGGCTCTGACAGAGGACCTGAAGGGTTGTTCTACAAGTAAGTTGTGTGAATTTGTAGAATCTGTGACCTTTTCTTCCCAAAGCTTTTTGTTTCCTTTAACTTCCAGATTCTCAGCGATGCTTCTTATCAGATTACTTATGCAAAAGCCTTCAAATACATTATATATTTCGCCATCATTTTATTACATAAAAATAAAAGCAACTTGCTAATGGTTTTAGCCCACAACTAACCACAAAGTAAACAAATTTGCATGTCAGGAATAAGTTATTTGATTGGATGAACACTTCTCTCCAGTTGCTAAGAATAGAGGACGGAGGGTCACTAGTGAAACTGATTTAGCATTTTGATTTAAGGATGACTCTGGCTCCTGCTTCTAGTATGTAACCTCCTCTGCCTCTGGGTGTTGGACCTCTTGGGTGGCCGGTAGAATGCAAAAGTATTCTGGGGAACTGGCAGGATGGGTGTGTAGGCCCAGATGCTGCCTCTGAATTTAGACACACCCATGGTGAGAGGTTTCAGACTCCTCATTGATTACAGCATATTCCTTTTTTTGTTGTTGAGTTTATGTATTCAATAAATGGTGTGGGGATTTGTTTTGCTCACTGTATGTGAGGTGCCATGGTAAGTACTAGAAAATCAAAGATTCACCTCTGAAGATCTCAGAGTCTAATGTGGGTGATAGACCTATACTAAAATAAATTACATTGCAACACAGTAAGTGCTATCCAGGGATGGATACAATGCTGTGCTGGGGGTGGGAGCTACTAATTGCATCTAAGTGAGGAGGCCTAGGTGAGAAGTAGCTGGGTTTTACAGAAGGAACAGCAGCACAATAAGGGCATGAGGCCATCTCCAAAGAGAAGGCTCTGGTCTACCCTGCTCCCGTGCTAAGCTGCACTACAGTTTATGTATGTTTTTACAGTAAAATTCTCTATATTTAGAGATGACATTATCAGGTACATAAATCATAGGGAATCAATCTACCAAAAAAAAAAAAAAATCCTCCTAGAACAAACACACGAATTTAGAAAAGTTACAGAAGAAAACATCAATAAACAAATATACATTGTATTTTTATACACTAGCAATGAACAACTGGAAATGAAACTTTAAAAAGTGCCACTTAAAATAAGCTGCAGTGCAGTTTAATTGGCTATATATGACTTGAGGTCTGAGCAAGGATTTCCTAACTTGCCAGTCTCTTTAGAATTTGACTGCTATCCTGGCTCTCACCAAAATCGCCTCCTGAGGATTTGAACCATGGGCTGGGACTAGGGAGTCATGATATTTCCTGCTGTAAAGTGAGACGTGATAGTATTCAGAGCATGATCATATCTCATGTGGTAGGGGAAAAAACAGCAGTACCTCATGAGCAGCTCTGTGTCTCAGCTCCTCCATCTATCTGTTTTACAAAAGAAACTAATGGTGACTTCTTTCCCTTCGAGTAAGGGAGTGAGAGAGACAGAGCAGCTGTAGAGGGAAACACGGCATCCTAAGGCCTCACTTTCAAAAACCTTTGGGAGGAAACTGAGGCAAAGAACTAGTCCAAGGTCATATAGCTCAGTAACAGAACCAGGATTTTTGGTTCTGAGTCTAGTGCTCTTTATACTTTTATACCATAGTTTTAGTAATGGGGAGGGACAGGCTGAGGTTTTCTCACGGAATGAGTTGAGCTAGTCCGTGTGCGATCCTCAGAGGCAGAGTATACTTGACGGTGAAGAAGGAAAGATGATCAGCATAATAACCTTGCTAAATTATGGCATAGAGTATGCAATCATTTTGAGAGAGATGAAATTCTAGGGAAATAATTTTCAAAGTCTCCTACAAACAACCATACTATTCCATCGTCCACTCACTTCGGAGACATCCAGAAATGTGCCTTTCCTAGTTAGGAAGTCTCCACATTATCTGGTGGGCTTTCTACCTCTCTATACCTGTGTGGTCCCGGTTGCGCCCTAGAGGTTCTCTATAACAGAAGGGATCACGACCAAAATAACCTATGAAGCTGGTCAGAGAGAACCTCTAGAATCCAGCAAGCTGGAGACAGGGCCATGTGCTACAGTTTTTATATAGAGTATTTTTAGGGCACTGTGAACTTTAGCTAAGGTTTCAATTTTGGAGCCTTTTCCATATGGGTGTGCACACAGAGTATTATGTGCTTCACAACAGAGATACAG